GGGGAGGCTACTGGGGTTTGCATTGACCGTAGACGTTGCGATAGCCCTGGGCACACTTGCATGCCACCTCCTGCCTGTCGTTTGTCTTGATGCACGTGGAGTGTGCCGGGCACTTGACACGGCTGCAGATGTCGTCTGGATGACATCGAAGAGCAGCATAAGGGAGAGGCATGGGCGGAGTAATAAGGTGAGACACATGCGGTGAGAGGCATGAGAAAAAGCGGCATGAATCGCAGTGGAAAGTACATGCATGGCAGCGGAAGGGCACGGATGGCTGCAGCGACTGCTGCTCTTGCACAATCAGGACTGCGGCAGCACTCAGGCCAGCAGCAGACTTTTGAGACGTCTCAAAAGTCGACTGCTGCTCTTGCACAATCAGGACTGCGGCAGCACTCAGACCAGCAGCAGGGCACTGCAGCAGCATGCATGGCAGCAGCAGGGCACGCATGGTGATTGTTGGCAAGCGCAGTAGAAAAGGCCAATGCATGGCAGCAGCATCGGCATGCATGGCAGCAGCATCGGCATGCATGTGTAGTAAGTCGTCTCTTTAGTCGACTCAAACATCGGCATGCATGCATGGTGATAGACGACAATAGCTGGAGCATGCAGGGCAGCAGCATCGGCATGCATGGTGACAGACGACAATAGCACGAGAAAGGCGAATGCATGCGGAAATTCTAGTGTCCAGGGTTTAGGGCAATGCAGGGTAGCAGCAGGACACAGACAGCAGCAGAAGCATGGCACTCACCAATGCATTTTGGTACAATGCAGGGCAGCAGCAGGGGCACTCACCGAGCACGCAGCGGATGGACTTCACTGATGCGTTTATCTTGGTGGTACTGCTCTCACACGCAGAGGGGAAAGGCACGCATGGGTGGGGGGGCACATGGGAAGGACGCATGGGAGGCGCTTTTGAGTCAACTGAGAATTCAACTCGGATGGGCTTCACAGATGAGTTGATCTTGAACGCACTGCTCTCAGACGTGCACAGGCGGGGGGGTTGTGGCATGTGGGAAATCGGGGCGTGCAAGCAAGAGAGCGAGCTGTGCTGTGAGGCAGCCAGGCAGTAAAACAAAACTGTGAATCCTGACAACTCACCTCATCTACCCATTGAACGGGCACTTTGCAGCCGGTGCACCCGAGCAAGGGAGTGAGCTGCGCTACGTGCCAGCCAGCCAGTAAAACAAACAAACGGATGAATCCTGACAACTCACCTCATGCCGTACGGCGTGAACGGGTACTTTGCAGCTGGTGCACCCGAGCAGTCGGGAGGGCTGCACCGAACAACTGCACCTCGCAGGAGGAGGGAGGGAAGGAGCTTGGTTACATCCATCCCAGAAACAAACGCGCGAGTGCTCACCTCATGTACCCATTGAACAGGTGTTTCGCCGCTGCAGTACCCGAGCAGTCGGGTGACGCGAACAGCTGCACCGCGTTGCACACCGTGCGATCCGAAAACACGTCCCACCACACCAGCGCGTCCGCCGCGCCGCCGCTCGCGATTTCAGGCGCGCTAACGCAGCGCGCAAAGTCGAAGGAGACGGAGCGGGGCTGTGTGAGAGAGCCGAGGAGCATCACCGAGCCCGCGCGCACCTCCGCGGGAACCGTCTCGCGCCGCGGGCCTGCCAGTTGGCGCGCTCGTCACCCACGACTCGCTCGCCGCGCTTCTACCACCAGTAGTCGTCTCGCTCGCGCCCGTAGTAGTACCAGAGGCGTCGCTTCCACGCCGCTCCGCGTAAACCGGCACCCCCTTTCTCGCGATCGCGCCCCTACCACTGGTTGTCGTCGTCGCGCTCGTGCCTGCACCAGTCGAATCGCTGCCAGCGCCGGCAGTCGCGGCGTACGCGGCAGATGCTCCTCGCGCCAGTAACACTCCCACGTCACTTGCTGCGAAGACGTCACACAGAGAGGGAGAGGAAGAATGGCAAGACACATGTCACACGGAAGGGTAAAAGTCTCGCTCATGCCTCTACCAGTCGAATCGCTGCCAGCGCCGGCAGTCGCGGCGTAGTACGCGGCAGATGCTCCCCGCGACACTTCTACGTTGCTCGCTGCGAGGGAATCACGCGGGGAAGGGCAGAAGGACATTTCAACCTCACTCGGTGCGACGACGATCGACGGGGAAGTGGAACGGCGAGTAAGAAACGCGCGGGTCGCGAATGCGATTGTGACTGACGCGAAGTATCGAACGCGCACATTCGGTGACACCCTTATCGACGTGCACGCAGTTGGAAAATAACTACTAGGTGACTTTTGAGTCGACTCAAAAGTCACCTCGCAGCATTTGGTGAGCTTCTCACGGGCTTTGTGAGGGTGGGGGGAGGCGACGGGGGAGGGAGTGGGGAGGCGATGAGGGAGAGAGGGGGGAGGCGTACCGATGAGGATGGCGACAACGAGCAGCGTAGTGGCGGCCTTGAAACCTCCCATGCTCGTGGTGCTCGTGGCGCTGGTGCCGCAGTAGTGACGAAAAGGCAGCAACGGAGGTAAATTCGGAGTATTCTGGGGTGTACGCAAGTATCGTATCAATACAGCAGCGAGGCGAAGGCAGGTTCGATAGTCGATGAGGTGAGTGCGTGTTCCTGGCCAGGCCCGCTACTGTATAAATATGCTTCACAGCGCGCGTATTTGATACTGCCCGCGTATTCGATTCGACCCGTATTCCGTACTCCCAGGGAAAATAGTAGAGGCCGCGAAGGCAGTGCAGCTCGCGAATCGAAATCCCGCCCGCCAACGGCGCGGCACGAACTGTTTCCGGTGGTCCGCACGCCCATATTCACGGGCTCTTGGGAACAACGCCGCCCTCATTATCTCTGCAACGCAAAAGAAACCTAAGCTGCGAACGCGGCTCCCATAATCATCTACACGCTGCGGACCGAAATGGCTGCCTGTGCTCCGGGTGACCCGTGGACCAGCAGCAACGGCTGTGCTGGTCTGACATTGTGTGTGCCGTGCCGTGCCGTGTGGGGCGCGGTCGACATGGCTACGTTTGTGACCAAATATGCTAGTGCGCGCCCCCCATGTGCCTGCTTCTGTCCTTGCCGAACTGAAGCCACTTGTAGAGAAACTCGCGAACAAGACAAGAATGGCACAAACTGAATTGATGGTATATTTTAAGATTCGTTAGGGTAATCAGTATAGAAAATACGGTACAGACAGAATAAGGCTCATGAGGTAAGAAATATGGCGTGAATGAAATGGGCATTGTGCGTATCCGCTATACAGAAGTTCGATTCGGTTCGGACCGTACCGGAAGCATAGGTTTGATGTGATGTGCGAGCGACATCTCGCTAAGAGCGTGTTCCTACGGATCCCTATCAGGCTAACCCCTTGTCAGGCTGGTGCATGCGAGCGATTTCGTTATTAAAACCGGGGTGCACATTCAGCTGAATGTGCATCAAAGGTTATCCCTTGACTGAGTGGGTTACGAGGTGTGCTTTCAACCCCTTCAAGTCGAAATTCGTTTCCCCCCTCCCCCGCAATTTCGTTTCCCCACGCCCCCGCAATTTCATTTCCCCCTCCCCGTCGAAATTCGTTTCCCCCCTCCCCCGCAATTTTGTTTCCCCCCTCCCCCGCAATTTCGTTTCCCCCCCCTCCCGCCAATCTGTTTCATCCCTCCCGCCATTCGGTTTCACCCACTCCCGCCATTTCACCCCCTCCCGCCACCTATGAAATGCCCGAAGCTCTAGCGGAATCATTTTTTTGTCGCCCCTCGTGAGCCAATCACTGTTTTTCTCCAAACCCCCTTCCCAACATCTCAAGCCGAACCGCGTTGAATGTGCACCCTGGTTTTAAGACCGTTTTCCAGACTTGAAAAATTACAATGCTGTTCAATGAATTGGTCGAGCGAAATCTCTGACACGTGTTGTTCAGTGACCCTTGTCAGGCAATCGCGCGAAATCTTTCGCAGGTGCTATTTCAGCGAGCCATGGTCAGGGAATCGTGCGGAATTCTTCACACATGCTGTTTTGTCGGGTATTAAACATACAAAGAATGTTCCGCCAAACACACGTTTCAATCGCCTGGAATTTGTCTGAACTCATAATTTTTTTCCTTTGCAACCTTTCGGGACCGTTGCGCAGTGCCACGTCACCCAACGCATTTTGTCGCGCACTTCACAAACGATCAAAACGTCTAGTACACAATGCGTTTAATCCGAAATTCTGGTGTTTGAGGCGACTCTGACAAGGGGCTGGCCTGATAGGGCCCGTAGGAACACGCTCTAAGGCACAGTCTGAACAATATTGTACGCGTTCTTGTACATGCAAGTATTGCAGAGCAAGGGTTGTTTCACAACATGAATAATGCAATACGTGAGACTTCAGGGAACAGAAGAGAAACAAAACAAATTGCAGCATGAAGCATCCATGAAAACGTCCTCTCTATTGATCAAACAATCTCAAATCAAGCCCTGAGCGAGAGCTATTTTTATAGGCCCCAACTGCTCCAAGTGCCACCCCCAGACATTCATAGCAGCAATGCCACTCCAAAGCTTATTAGAAGCCTTCCTATCCAGGCGCTCTGCTTATTAGAGGCTCTGCTTCTATGATCTATCCAGGGGCTCTGCTTATTAGGGCCCAGTAGAGAACAGGAGATGCTTGAGGGGTTGTGCTGTGTCTATCACCATAGCAGTGGCTGTCACTCAGTTTAGCAGTGGCTCTCAGCAAAGCAGTGGCTACAGGTGAGAGGGGAGGCTACCTAAGGTCGGCATTGCCCATAGACGTTTTGGTAGCCCTTTGCACACTGGCACCCCACCTCCTGGTCATTGATTGTCTTGATGCACATGGAGTGTGCCATTGTAACGAGGTGGCTTTTGAGCCCACTCAAAAGCCACCTGGTTGGCATTGACCGTAGACGTTACGGTAGCCCTGGGCGCACTGGCACCCCACTTCCTGGTCGTCCTTTGTCTTGATGCACGCGGAGTGTGCCGGGCACTTGACACGGCTGCAGATGTTGTCTGGATCACATGGGAGGGGCATGGGAGGGGAGGGATGGGGGGAAAGTTAACTTTGAGTCGACTCAAACGTCACCTCCTGGTCATCCTTTGTCTTGATGCACGTGGAGTGTGCTGGGCACTTGACACGGCGAGGGGCATGGGAGGGGAGGGATGGGGGGAAAGTTAACTTTGAGTCGACTCAAAAGTCACCTCCTGGTCATCCTTTGTCTTGATGCACGTGGAGTGTGCTGGGCACTTGACACGGCTGCAGATGTTGTCTGGATCACATGGGAGGACGGGGTGAGAGGGATGAGGTGAGAGGCATGGGGTGAGAAGCATAGGGAAAAGAGACATAAAATGAAACAGAAAGTGCACGCATGGCAGCAGCAGCCCATGCATGCTCGTCGTTCATTTCGTCTGCAGAGGCATGTTTGGCAGTAGGAGCAAGGCGAATGCATGACAGCAGCAGAAAGGGAGACAGTTGACATGGTAGCAGCAGGGGCACTCACCAAGCACGCAGCGAATGGACTTCACTGATGGACTTATCTTGGTGGTACTGCTCACACACGCACAGGGGGAGGGAAAGAGGGGGGGGGGAAGGAATGGGAGGAGTGCATGGGAGGGAGGGACTTTAGAGCTAACTCAAAATTCAACTCAGACGGACTTCACTGATGGACTTATCTTGGTGGTACTGCTCACACACGCACACAGGGGGAGGGGGATGAGGGGCGCATGGGAGGGACTTCAGGGTCAACTCGAAAGTCAATTCGGGTTGACTTCACTGATGGATTTATCTTGGTGGTACTGCTCACACACGCACAGGGGGAGGGGAGGGGCACGTGGGAGGGGCTTTTGAGTAAATTAGAAATTCAACGCGGATGGACTTCACTGATGCGTTGATCTTAGAGACACTGCTCACACACACACAGGGGGGGCGGCACATGGAAAGAGGGGTGGGGAGGGCACACGGAGCGCGGGGTTGTTGGGGCGTGGGGAGGGCACATGGGAGGATCGTTGGGTGTGGGGAGGGGCGCATGGGGGCATGAGGGTACTTGCTGCATGATGGGTGTTGTCGCATGTAGGAAATTGGTTTTTGGAAGCGCGACCCATCAAGACGGACGAGGCGCCAAGCAATGTTGTGTGCAATGTCTGAATCTTTGTACTAGGTTTCTTACGAGACACGGAACTGCTAGGTACAAGTAGTGGTTGCTAGGTAGTGGGCAAGTTTAGTAGGATTCGGAAGGGTACTTGCTGCATGATGGGTGTTGTCGCATGTAGGAAATTGGGGCATGCAAGCAAGCAAGGGAGCGAGCTTTGCTGCGCGCCAGTAACAAGCGGGTGAAATTCTCACCCGTAACAAACGAGCGAGCTTTCCTGAGAGCTCACCGGAATAAGTATTCTCCCGTGTATTTGAAATTCGCCGCCGCAGCACCCGAGCAGTCGGGCGACGCGAACAGTTGGAAAGGAGCTTTGTTGCACACCAAGACAAGCAGATGAAAGGCTCACCGGAATAGGTATTCTCCCGTATATTTGAAATTCGCTGCCACAGCACCCGAGCAGTTGGGCGACACGAACAGCTGCACCGCGTTGCACACCGTGCGATCCCCCCCACCGAACACGTCCCACCACACCACCGCGTCTCCCGCGCCTCCTCCTCCTCCGCTGCTGCCGCCCGCGCCGCTGCGGCGCACGACGCCAGCGCCGGCGCCGCCGCTCGCGCCGCCGTCGATGCTCGCGGACGCGCCTTGGGGCACGGACACGCAGCGCGCCCAGTCGAAGTCGACGTAGTTGGGCTACGCGAGTGAGCCGACGAGCACCACCGTGCCCACTCGCACCTTGGCGGGCACCACTTCTTTGGCTGCCGCATTTGCTCCCATTGCTGTGAGGATGATGTTGGACAGAAAGAGGAGAGCCCAGAATGACAAGGGAAAGGTTCAGAACGAGTGAGCCGACGAGCACCACCGTGCCCACTCGCACCTTCGCGGGCACCACTTCTTTGGCTGCTGCCGTCGCTGCGAGCACGTCAGACGGAGAAGGGCGAAGACAGACAGAAAGCGAAGGGAAAAGGTCGGAACGAGTGAGCCGACGAGCACCACCGCGCCCACTCGCACCTTCGCGGGAACCACGGCGGTGGCAGCCGCTTGATCTGCTCCAGTTGCTGCGCGCAGAAGGGGCAAGACAGACAGAAAGGGAAGGGAAATGGTCGGAACGAGCGAGCCGGCGGGCATCACCGTGCCCACGCGTAGCTCCGCGCACCAATGAGGCGACGAGGGAGGGAGGGAGGCGTACCAATGAGGATTGCGACGACGAGCAGCGCGGCTGCGGTTTTGAAACCCATGCTGCTGCTGCTGCTGCTGCTGCTGCTGCTGCTGCTGCTGCTGCTAGTGGTGGTGGTGCTCGCGGCGGTGACGAACGAGGTTCGATTAGTAGTAGCGGCGAGGGGCGCCGGCGGATTAGTAGCGGCGAGGGGTTGCACTGGAGAATCCGTCGAGTCGGACAGATGCAAGTCAAAGGAAGCGACAGGGGTGAAACCTGAGTGTTCTGATGTGAAAGAAGAAGGCAGGGTTGCAGAGGAAGTGGCTAGCTAGTGCGCGTCGGAGCCTCACAAGTGCGAGTGATAGTTGACGAGGTGAGTGCGTTTTCCCGGCGAGGCCCGCTACTAGGAATATATGCTTTAGGGCGCGCATATTTGACACGGTCCGTATTCGATGGCAGTGCAGCTCGACTCGAAAGGCCGAACGGTGGCGGCGCGGCAATAATTTCCGCCGGGTCCGCACGCCCATATTCACGGATCTCTTGACAATAATTCACCCACTCATAATTTCATAAAGCTGAAAACGCGGCTCCCATAATCGTCTTCATTCCGCTCGAAGAGGGAGGCAGACCCGTGGACTGGCAACAATGGCTGTGTTGGTCTGACATCGTGCGTGCCGTGCCTTTGCTGCTACCAATAATGCTAGTGCTCCTTCCTCTGCCTCCTTTCTTGTCGAGCTGAGTCTACTTTTAGAGAAACTCACGAACCATATAAGATTGGAAGAAGGTCAACGCGTACAGTTGCAGATTTGTTATACGTAAATATGCTCATCGAGGCGCTTAAGTCTCTGCAGACTGTGTCCATCTAACGGACTCTACAGTGGGGTGTACTATGAATGCAGTCATCCACAGCTTACAAGCAGACTCGCAATGCTAGAGCAGGTGCAATGGATCTGCTGCAAGCGGCCAGGCCAAAATTCTTGGTAGGTCAATGCCGCATTGCTCGCTGATCTGATGTGTCGTCGTTTCAATGAGTCCGTGCTTGCAATCACTCTCAACCTCCAAAATCTCGTGCGTACCGCCAATCAAAATATGAAGGGGTGACATGGCAGCCATATGGGAGGCACTTGGGAGATGCACTCGTGGTCGCGCGTGCAACCTGCCAAAATCTGAGGAGGAAAGGCCTGCCAGCATGGACCATCCCAAACTGAACACGTCTCCCTTTTTCCTCCCAACTGCTTTTCGGAGTGTGGGAGGAGTAAATTGGTGCGCCTCGGTCTGTCACATCAGCCGAATGTGTGGGTGCGTGGGTCTCGTCGAATATGCGGCTCCACCTCAGGCCACGGATGGGGCTTCGCTGTGCAATTCGCCTGAGGGAATGCATCAGAAGGCCCGCTTGGGCAAAATTCGTTGCACCAGTGGCGCCTATAAAATTCCTCGTTCCATTCGATCAGTCTCATCAACCAGCTAACTATTCGCTTCAGATTCGACTGTTTAGTCATCAGAGCTCCTTGCAACCTCTGCTCTCAGCTCTTTAGTCTAATCAGAGTCGATCTCAGCTCCCGCTCATACCATGGCCGCCTCTCTCGCCGCCCGTCAGGCTATCGCCTCCCTCACATTCAGCGCTAGCGTCCGCGGCGCTGCGCTCTCCACCCCTCGCCTCACCGCGACCCCCGCCGCCGACGCCGCTCCTCGCGGCCTCGGCCTCACAACGACCGCGCTCTTCTCCAAGAAGGCCGCCGCGACCCCGGCGAAATCCGCGAAGGCAGCTACCACCAAGAAGCCTCGCACGGAGGATGGAATCTTCGGCACGTCGGGCGGATTCGGCTTCACGAAGGCTAATGAGCTTTTCGTCGGCCGCGTCGCCATGCTCGGCTTCGCCGCGTCGCTCCTAGGAGAGGCCATCGACGGCCAAGGGATTCTCGGACAGCTCAACCTTGAGACAGGAATTCCCATCACCGAGGCCGAGCCGCTTCTGCTCTTCTTCATTGCCTTTACCGTGCTCGGCGCGATCGGCGCGCTCGGCGACCGCGGGCGCTTCGTTGACGAGGAGGCGCCGCGCTTCGTCCCCGCGAAGCCTGGGAGCCTGCGGTCCGCGCTCGGCCTCAGCGAGGAGGGCCCGCTCTTCGGCTTTACCAAGGCGAACGAGCTGTTCGTGGGGCGCATGGCGCAACTAGGGTTTGCCGCGTCGCTGGTTGGGGAGGTTATCACCGGCAAGGGCGCGCTTGCTCAGCTGAACATTGAGACCGGTCTGCCGGTCTGGGAGGTCGAGCCGCTTCTGCTTGCGAGCATTGTGATTCTGTTCATCGCGGCGATCAACCCCGGCACGGGCAAGTTCATCAATGACGACGACGAGTAGTAGCGAAATGTGTGCGATTCCGTGTGTGACGGAATAAGTGCGATTGCACGAGTTTTGACATTAGGGTTCCCTCGGAGCTTGTGTTTCTGCCGCAAGGCAATCTTGTTTTCTCGTGTGTTGATATTTTTATACTAACGACCTCAGTGAAATTCCTGGATTGAAAATTACTTCCCACGACGGATGCTGAACACCCTGAACGCTTCAGTCATCAAATCCCACCTACTCTCACTCTGTTCTGAAGAACGCTGGGAACATTTGAAGTAATAACCAAGTTCTCACCCTCGTACTCTGAAATTGACCTTTCGTTCTGGAGAGTGACAGATCTGTGGAGGTAACATGGCTTGTAAGGTCTGAATATGCGGCTGGAGTTGAATTGAAGCTGAAAGCACTAAAATCGATGGAGGTACCGTTGATTTTGTTAGTGAAATCCTTATATGTGATTCCGTCTGAAATCCTCCCCCGTTGGGCACGGGGAGTTTGGTGGTATGGAAGTGGCGAAACAGGCGAAACCGCCATCAGTGCACGTGTTTGCTTTAAACTCGACACCCGATACAAGTGGTCTTGTACTTGCTATAAGAAATGTAAAATTTTGAAAGTGTGTAACACTTTCCAAAATTGTGTATTGTGAATAGCGAAGCGAGTTGTACCGAAGCAAAGGCCTCGGCAAACCGCTACTTCCCCCTCTTTTCGGTACAAAAGAGGGGCGAAGGCCATTTGGCCTTCACCAGGGCTCTTGCTAACTTTTAGGCCCGTCTGACGTTTTCCTTAAAAAAAAAAAAATGTCTGGCCCTCATATGGAGGATTCCTGGTGGTCTTTGCCTCAGACGGATTTTATAAGTTAGTATGCCGGCTCAGACGGATTTACACGAAATCAGACATTTATTTAACTATATGGTTTACACACATACTATACCGTACTCTATTACTACAGATAACCATACATTCATAATGAACTAGGAGTCACTGTCGCTATCATGAGAATAATCTTCCTCGTCGTCCCCGTCTAGCTCTGAATCTGAAGCAATGTGTTCTTTGCCGTGGTCTGCCCGTCTCTGCCAGGGGCCCAACTCCTCCTCTAGCCTGGCTGCTTCTTCTGCAGCTGCTGCTTCACGAGCAGCAGCCACTGCTGCTGCTGCTGCTGCTGTTGCTGCCGCCTGCTTCGCGGCCAGCATCGCAAGGGTCTTCCTCGTGCGCTTCACAGGCCTTTGCGCATGCACCATCACCACATCCTTGGCTGGGCGTCGCTTCTTCGCACCTCTCCACAGCTCTACAAGGGCGGGCCAGTCAGGTTCGTACTTCAGCATGGAGATGGTCATCAGGTCGCCAAGCTTCGCGTCGTTGAGATTGCCGCGTAGCCAGCTCTTGATGACGTTCTGGCGGGAGAAGCCCCGCTCGCACTCCATGGTGCTCAGGGGCAGCACTGCGACCGCCATCCAAAGGCGGACCAGGTTGGGGTAGGCCGTGCACCAGTCGGGCGAGCTGAGCATCTGCTTCAGGCCGTCCTGGAAGCTCAGCTCGCGGTGATGGGTCGACATGATCGTGGTGAAGCTGCTGATCTCCTTCTGCGCTCTCGTCCAGTTGATTCCTGGTGGCTGGCGGGGTGTGAATCAGAAACCTTTTTAATGAGAATACGGGCTGTTGTACTAAAGTGCACAAGCTCATACAACCAACGAAGCATACGGTGACACAAACACCCTAGACAACTCAATCAAGCACAACCGAAATCGAAGACGTACCAGGCAGGGTGTCAGGGTCGGACGGTTTCCGCTTAAACAGATTGCGGAGAGCCTCCAGCCACTGCAAAAACCGACGCTGCCGCTTCGAGTGAGATTTCGGGTATGCCCCCTGCGTGAACAGCTTGGCGCCGTCGAGAGAGCCCAGATCCTTCATCCGGGTCTCCAGTCGCTTCAACAGCTCCTTCACGTACCCCTTCGCCAGTGTGATGCAGTCGTCCAGGCCCGGGCCAGGTGTCTGACCCTTGATTTTCTGTTCATGGAGGGTGTACTCATGAGTAGTCGGGGCGCCAGTCGAGTCGGTGCCCGTCACCTTCACCTCCCTTTTGTCCGACGAGGCATGCTTCGACAAGAAGGCGCTCAGCTCGTTGCTCCCATCTCCGAAGTCGTCCGCGTCACTCAGGTAACGGTTGCGGAGGGTGAGCCTAGTGTTGTCCACCATCTGCAGCACGTGTGTCACGTCGACCTGCCACACACACATGAGAGGCGGAGGAAAGGCATGCACGGGTAAATATCTCATTAACACGATTCATTTACGCTAAAAACAGTTAACAGCAAGAGGCGTAACAGCGTACCTGCCGTCGCTGGAACTTGAGGTTCAGTGCGTTGAGTTCCTTCAACACATCAGCCAAGAAAAACAGCATGAAATGGAAATTCAAACTGGTTACAAGGAGGTACGCCTTCGGGTCGTTCTCGTACAACAGTATGACAGCAGCTAGAAGGTTGTCAGCCAGTCGCTGCACCGCCAGACCACGTGAAAGCCACCTGACGCTGTGGATGCCCTGCAACTCCAGGTTAGTTTCACACAGCACCTCCTACAGCTCTTTGAAGCGTAGGTGGAAGTTGCCCGACCGTCCAAGGAGCTCCGCTAAGGAACGGACGACATGGTCGACGATGTCAAGGTCGGGGTAGGCCTCTGCTGCATCCTTTGCGGCCAAAGCTTCCCTGACACAACACGGAAAAGCAACAAGCTAGATACATATGCAACGATTAAAAGGTAAGCATAACATCACAGGGTTACAAACCTGTGCGCAATGCAGTGGAACCCGGCGAGGTGTGGAATCCGCCCACGAAGGCGTGCCACCAGGCCCGTCTGAGAACCGACCATGACGCTTGCACCGTCAGTGCTGATGCCACTGATGCGCTCAAGGTCGAGGCCGGTAGACTCCAGGTGGGTTAGAAGGACTGCCTGCAGGGAACCAGCATCGCACTGCTCAACTGTTAGGTGCGCGAAAAATTCAGTGACGGGAGTGTTGCTGCGGAGGAACGACAAGTAGACTATCATGTGCTTCCCGCGCCGACGGTCCGTGCTCTCGTCCAATTGAATGCCCAGGTAAGGAATCTCTCGGATGTGCTTCATCTGTTGAGCATGGAGGTAGATGACAAGCGTCTCAACCAACTGCGCAAATCCGTACCTGTAACGACCAGAGACAAGGTAATTAGTACCGTGGTTTTCAACTAAACCCTAAACCCGCAAAAAACACTTACTCGCTGTAGTAGGTGCCGGAATCCTTCAGGGGCATGTCGGGCGTGCCCATCTTGTCAAATGATATATATGTTTAGGCTGTAGTGGGGTAGTCAATATGGGGTACAGCCCATTCTAGGGTTTCATATTTGTACCAAACTCTTTCATAATTCATTCATTCCTGCTTAGTACTTTAATATGGTTTCAGAGCAGGAGGTCCCTAGGACCTAACTCTGTGGGCCCACCGTCCCTTTTTTTTCCGCCGAGTCGCGCCCTACTATAGCCCCTAGCGGGCCCTACTGCTGCGTCGCGCCCTGCTGCTGCGTCGCGCCCTGCGGCCGCGTCGCGCCCTGCTGCCGCGTCGCGCCTTGCTGCCGAGTCGCGCGCGCTGCTGCTGCGTCGCCCGACCGCCGCGACGCGCGCGCTGCAGCTGCGTCGCCCGCCCGCCGCGTCGCGCGCCCTTTCGCCGCGTCGCCCGCGCCCTGCTGCGCTGCCCGCGCCTTGCTGCGCCGGCCGCGCCCTTCTGCGCCGGCCGCGCCCTACTGCGCCGCCCGCGCCCTGCTGCGCCCGCCGCGCCTGCTGCGCCGCCCGCGCCCTGCTGCGCCGCCCGCTCTCTGCTGCGCCGCCCGCGCCTTGCTGCGCCGGCCGCGCCCTGCTGCTCCGCCCGCTCTCTGCTGCGCTGCCCGCGCCCTGCTTAGCCGCCCGCGCCCTGCTGCGCCGCTCGCGCCCTGTTGCGCCGCCCAGCCACCCGCGCCCTGCTGAGCCGCCCGCGCCCTACTACGCAGCCCGCGCCCTACTGCGCAGCCCGCGCCCTACTGCGCCGCCCGCGCCCTCCTGCGTCGCGCGTCCTGCTGCTCGTCACCGCCTAGCGCCATGGCCACTCTTCGTGTTCTGTCCTTCGACACTGAGGGCCGCCCTGTAGAGTTCGACGCCTGGCTCGATGACTTGCAGCTCTACCTGATTAGCACCAGCAAAGACGAGATCTCCCTCTTTGATCACACCTCCGGTGCTCTAGCTGCTCCTGCTGACACAGCTGCCCTTAGCGAGCGCTCTCAGTGGCTGACACGCGATGCTGCTGCCCGCCTTGCTATTCGCAACCACCTACCGCTGGCGGAACTTAAGCACTTTGGCGAGCACAAAACCGCTAAGGCCCTGTACGACGCTGTAGTTGCTCGCTACTCCTCCCCTGCCACTGCTGCGCTCAGCCGCCTCATGCTGCCGTACCTGTTCCCCGAGCTGTCGAGCTTTGCCACCGTAGCCGACCTCATCACTCACCTTCGCTCTAGTGACGCTCGTGTCCGTGCCGCACTCCGCAAGGAGTTTGTTGCCCAGCACCCCCCTCCGATGTACTGGACGCTCCACTTTATAGTGACCAGCCTCCCTGACACCCTTCGCTCAGTCAGGGATCACTTCCTAGCGCGCTGTCCCTCCGACCTCACCATAGACCTCCTAGAGGAGCACCTCTTAGCCGCTGAGAGCAGCATTGTTAGTGTGGCTGCTGCTCGTGGTGCTCCTCGCACCCCCATCTTTGAGGGGTGCGCTTCTTCCCCTCTTGCCCCCTCCTACGCCACTGCTGCCGCTGTAGACTTCCTCGGAGCCGACTCGGTTGGTGCTGCCTCCACTTCTGCTGGGCGGCGCCGCACCGGCAAGGGCAAGGGGGGCAAGGGCGGTGGTGGCGGTGGCGGCGGAGGAGGAGGTGGAGGTGGTGGAGGTGGCGGTGGGAGTGGAGGCAGTGGCGGCGGGAGTGCTAGTGGGAGTGGTAGCGGCGGTGGAGGAGGTGGTGGTGGTGGCGGCGGTGGGAGTGGCGGTGGTGGCGGTAGCGGCGGTGGTGGCGGTAGCGGCGGTGGTGGAGGCAGCGGAGGCAGTGGCGGTCGTGGTGGAGGCGCTGGTCAGAGACAGCAGCAGCAGCTTCGTGAGTGGTTGGCTCAGAGGGGTACGTCTGGGGGTTCTCGCTGTACGTATGTCATTCGCACCGGTGAACGTGCTGGTCAGACATGCGGCAAGCCCCACCCCCAGCAGCGTTGCTTCTCCCGCCTTGACGACGCCTGGCGTGAGGAGATGGGGGCAGAGGTTGAGACCCCTCGCTGGTTTGATCTGCTTAAGAAGGGTGTAGACATCTTTGCTCTTGACTGTGATGCTATTCTTGCTGCCATGTATGCATTGTCTGTTAGTGCTGAGGGTGACTACTACCTGTGTCTGCCGCCTGATCCAGGTATAGAGCCAGCAGCTCTTGGTGCTTGCGAGTCTGCGCTCTCAGGTACCGTGTCCACTGCCTTAGCTGCGGGTGAGTCTGCGCTGTCAGGTACTGCGCCTTCTACTGCCTTGCACACCTTCACTCTTGACTCAGGTGCTTCCAGGTGTTTCTTCCGCGACAGCACAGCCCTCACACCGCTCCCTGCACCAGTTGCAGTCTCCCTGGCTGACCCCTCGGGGGGTCCAGTCCTTGCACGGTCTACCACTGTGCTTCCTTGCCCAGCGGTCCCGTCTGGTTCACTGTCAGGTCTCCACCTCCCCTCGTTCTCTACGAACTTGGTGAGCAACGCTGTCCTTCAGGAACACTGGGTTGATACCTTCACCCCTGGAGGACAGCGTGTGGCGATCTGTACGTGCTCCAGGACTGGGCGACACCTGGCCACGTTCACGCGTGCTCCAGGGTCGAGCCTTTACACACTGACTACTGTGTCTCCCCAGGTCGCTGCTGTCGGTCAGGCGTCTGCGTCAGGTCAGGTAGACTCCCCTTGCTCGTGTCGATCCCTGTCGCACCAGACCGTTCTCTGGCACCACCGTCTGGGCCACCCCTCCTTGCCCCGTCTTCGTGACATGCACCGTCGCGTCCTTGTGTCTGGTCTTCCGCGGACCCTACCTCGCCTCCCTGCTTCGCCTGCCCCGGCCTGCCTTCCTTGCGTCGAGGGGCGGCAGCGCGCCGCTCCTCACTCCTCCTCGTTTCCTCCGACAGAGGCTCCGCTGCAGACTCTCCACATGGACGTGTGGGGCCCCGCCCGCGTCAGCGGACGGGGTGGAGAGCGGTACTTCCTGCTGGTAGTTGACGACTACTCGCGTTACACCACGGTCTTCCCCTTGCGCACCAAGGGTGAGGTCCCTGCTGTCCTGATCCCTTGGATCCGAGCGGTTCGTCTCCAGCTACGCAGGAGGTTTCGGACCGACCTCCCTGTTCTGCGTCTGCACTCTGACAGGGGCGGAGAGTTCGCCTCCGACCTCTTGCGCGGCTTCTGTCAGGAGGAGGGCATCACCCAGTCTTACACGCTTCCGGGCTCACCGCAGCAAAATGGGGTTGCTGAGCGCCGCATTGGCCTGGTCATGGAGATCGCTCGTACCTCCTTGATCCATTCGGCGGCTCCCCATTTTCTGTGGCCGTTTGCGGTCCGGTACGCCGCACAGCAGCTCACCCTCTGGCCCCGTGTCTCCGTTCCGGAGACCTCGCCCACACTGAGGTGGACTGGGGAGGTTGGTGATGCGTCGGTGTTCCGGGTCTGGGGTGCCCGTGCTCTTGTTCGCGATACGTCCGCGGACAAGCTCTCCTCCCGCACCCTTCCCTGTGTCTTCCTTGGCTTTCCGACTGACGCGCCTGGCTGGCAGTTTTACCACCCCGCCTCGCGCAGGGTCCTGTCTTCTCAGGACGTTACCTTTGACGAGTCAGTCCCTTTCTACCGCCTCTTTCCCTACCGCACTGCCCCTCTCCCTCCCCCGCCGCTCTTCCTCACTCCAGGTCCCCCTCCGGTAGACCCCCTTCCCCCCCAGGGTCCTGCTCCTTCAGGTGTGTCTCAGGTAGACCCGCCTCCCTTTGCTGAGCCTGTCGAGGTCACTAGTGACTCAGGTGCTGCTGAGGGTGGTACTGCTCGAGGTGCTGCGTCTGGGGGTGATGAGCCACTGCGTGAGGTGCTGGAGTGTGTGGAGCCTGGGGGTGCTGTGCCGGTGCGTGAGGTACTGGAGGGTGCGGAGCCTGGGGGTGCTGTGCCGGTCCGTGAGGTGCTGGAGGGTGCGGAGCCTGGGGGTGCTGTGCCGGTGAGTGAGGTCCCGGAGGGAGCTGGACCGATTTCTCGCCGGCCCCTTATGCCAGCGGAGCTGCGGGAGTGGTTTGCGGTTCGTCAGCGACTGCGGCGGCGTCCTGGAGTTGGCGGTACTGCTGCTGGAGCTGGCGACACTCGTGCTGCTGACACC